ATGCTCTCGTACGTATAAGGGACATTTGGAGTACATAGCCATAAAATACTATGGTTAAGCGTTTCTAGTAAGGGCATGGGAATAAATCCCAGACTGAGATTAATGGCTGTTGTCCTTTTTGAATTGAACATTCTTGTCCGGTGTCCGATTTCTTACTCTTTACTAATTACTACTGTTTATCTCTGCGTTACATGCCAGTGTTTTTTCAAAGGGATTTCCTTGTTGTGGGGCAAATTCAGCTGCCCCAGGGCAGGCTTACGGAGCCAGCACTCTCAGGAATTGGGTGTAAACCTGGGTCTCAGGCCTCAAATTCGACTCACTACCTGAAAGCCTTGGAAGTCTTGAAGTTGTGCCCCTCGAAGGCTTGGGGAATCCGCTGTTTGAGCTTTGCCAAGGAAGAAAAAACGATCAGGGACGACTTTTAGAGCTTTGCATATCCCATACCCCAGTCCCAAATACGCTTAGCTCTCCGGGATTTCGGATGATTTCGCTTTCAGGTGTCCCTGACATATAATCCCATAGTTCAAGTAAAGTCCTTTTTCAGTTCGTCATCAAAGTGTGAATTCCCTTGATGTCCTTCTCGGTTGATTTCGCATTTCACTTAAGATTTAATCCAGCTGAAGTGTAGGCTCCTTGAATAGTGAGAGCGCAGATTATCCTCGTCGAGGTAGTAATTGCCTCGATTTCCAAAGGGCAACGGCTTGTCACGTGTGATTTCGAGGACTAAAACGGCGTCTTAACAATAAGTTACTCTATGAATCACAGGAAAACTGGACAGAACCCTCCTAGAAGCTTTTTCCCAAGAAAATCTTAATCTACCGAAAGAACCTATCAAAATAGTTACCCATAAATGCTATCGTATTCACCCAGATGGCTCATAGGTTTTCCCAGATGCTGCTGTTCCAACTAATCTAACTTTGAGTTGACTCATCAGTAGTTCTAAGTAAATTTGACGAAGCTTCCGCTATACTCCGTCAGTTGATCGCTAGCCCATTGTGTAAAATCACCGCCGCGGGCGAGAATCATCATCAGCAGCAGAGGCAGAGAAGCTGCTGTTCATGGAAAAACTGTCGTTCAAGGGTGCCCCTATGTAATGGGGTAGAAGAACGTCCGTTGATGGAACCTTCTGGTTCAGGGTTTAGCGACAAGATGACTCAATGTGGGTGTGGTAAACTTTGGGCTGAGAAATCATGAATATTCTTTGAAAAGTTCCTTCTGGACCTCCGAATCTACCTCTCAATCCATCATGAATATGGAGCCTCTAAGCTTGACCCTGTTACCCTCCTTTACCCTCCTTCGGAAACCTTCCCCTAGCGGGTATACCGAGTCCTTCAGCCAATTCGGTCGCTACAGAAGGTTGGCCATACCTTTCCAACACCTCTATGACTTCAACAATTGCGAATATTGACTTTTCGGTTATGAATCATACTATAGAGAAGTACAGTAATACTTCTAAAGTTACGGTAATCAGAAGTCTTGTCACTGACTGAATTTCCTAGGTGGGAGATGTTGCAAAGCCGAAATGAACTGTGGGTTATATAAAGCTGAGATGAAGCAAAATTTTGAAAATCGTTCATTTCCATCTCCAATATTGCTTCTCAGGGAGGGGAACTCTTCAAAGGGAGATCCTGCTAGTTCACCAGCTTCAAAGAGAGTGGGTGACTCCGGCCTTTCCAAAGCACCTCCCAATCCAAGAATAGAGGTTCTTCCCAGGAAGTTACTGAACCCGATTTCCATAAACACCTTTTGGGATATATTTGAAGCAATGAACAATCTTTTCCCCTTGAATACCTTTGGGTGAGGTTGATGGCATTGCTCTATTGACCCTCTTGCAAGGGGAAAATGAAGGCAATACATGAACAATCTGTCAAGAACACCCCCGGAAGTGGTCGTGGTGTACGACATTTGTGCGGCGCGACATATCGCCCTGCTTTCTCTATGAAGGCGAATCAATTTATTGCCATAATTGGTTTCAGTTGGGTCGCCAAAAACATTCCCCCTCCACCTCCTCCATTCACTCCCTACCAATTAATTACATTCAAGCAGCAAACTCTCCCTCTCCCCGTCGGTCTCATTTTCGTCCATCCTTCCGACGACGACGGCAACGGCAGCACCACCCAACATCTCGTTGCTGCTCGAAACAATTCGCCTTAAAAGCGCTTGGCTCGATGGTTGAGATCGATAGCGGCATGGATTAAGTTAGCTTCAATTACGTCATCGTCCTCGAAACGGGGATTGTTCTGCTGT